TTTTTTTTTTTTTTTTTTTTTTTGTCACAAAGCCAAATTTTAATTTCCCCGTTTATTTTATCAAAAAAAAAATAACTCTTTTATATTATATATAATACACGAGTATAAACTATGTCATAATTCAATCAAAGAGGACGGTTGTGAGATTTCACATCTATTTAGGAGGAAAATGAAACATTATTTATAAAAGTGAAAGGGTAGAAATCTTTCCTAGCGCAGATATCCCTCCTAACCATGACTTAAACGGGAGTGGAGGAGGGCCCATAGGTATATAGATGGAATAAAAGGGCCTTCAGGTAGGGGTGAATGGGTGCTATGGGCTGGGCTTCATTATCACGTAATACTAAAATTTGGTTGTTAAGATGGAAGGAAGGCAATCAAAATGAGAGGTGAGAGAGCCCATACATTGGATGTTCATAAGTCCTGTGTAGACTCAATTGGTAGGGCCCCTCACGAAGTGGGTGTGTTGTGTTGGCATGTGGCTCATCTGATGCCAATATCTCTGTATTCACTGCAAGAGCTGACGGTGGTTGGGACACTTCTAGTATGGATGATGAAGCTCACCCAGTAGGAGTCAGGTCTGTTTCATGGGCTCCATCCACTGCACCAGGTGCCCTTGTCTGCTCCGCATTACTCCATCCCCTTCCCAACCTTTGCTCAGGTGGTTGTGACAATACGGTGAAGCTTTGGAAGCTCCATCTTGGAAGCAGCCTTCGCACATTTTCAGTATACTTCACATATTTTTCACCCCCCACCTCAACCAAAGGGAGCGGTGGATCATAAATTCAACATTATTTGTTTTTCACACCCCCAATATATATCTATATATCTTAATTATTTTAAAGTTAATTTTTATAAACCATACTAATATTTAATAGGTTTAAATCTCCATTTTAGAGAATTTTAATATTTAAAAAAGAGAGGATTTATATGACTATAGTTTGGAGGAAAATAAAGAAGGTGCTTTGGAAATGGGGTGGATGGGATGGATTCTGCACGTGCCTTGCATGACATAGACAATGCACGTGTGAGGGAGCATCCAAGAAAGTTAATTCCAGATTGGCCCCTACTATAGATTCCTGAGCTCTTTGTGAAACCACCCCCTTCAAAGTTGACAATGACCCAAACAAAATGCAATTTTATTTATATTTAATTATATATTATTATTATGAATTTTTTTATAAAAAAGAAACCGAACCTGTAAGTGTCACATGATCCCTGACACATTCCCACCTTTGTCACGTGCTTCTCAAACCCTACTACTTCCCCCCTTCATAAAGTCCACAATTTTAAAAAGTCTACTCTAAATACATTTTTCATTTTAATCTAATCAAACTTAACCAAATATTCAATTACTTTAATTATATATTTATTTCCTAAACTAGTTTTAACCATTTATTTTCTATCATAATCATTTTTTTAAATAGGCCTTCTTCTTCTTTAGCCAACTTGAACATAGTTGTTAAGAAATATTTTCAAAAAGTTTAAATTCCCGTTTATATATAATGTTATACTATGGTTTAAATTTTAAGATAATTTCAACACCCTTCTTACCAGTTTGGTCCCTACTTTAAGTCTCCATCACTTTAGATTGGTTATCTTTTTTGTGTTTATCTCAATATTTTTTCCTATATAATTTTAAACTAAAACGGTTAATCTAATATTTTGAATTTAACAGGAGAATCATCTTAAAAATTAAGAATCTGAAACGGACATTTTAACAAAATTAAAGCTGCACAATCAGTAAGAGAGATTTTATACGTCGGGTTGAAAAGAGAAATGCTTGCACATGCCGTCATAAATTGGCCAGTTTTATAACTCTTTTTCAATGGTTATACGTATCCATCACATTTTTACAAAATCAACTAATGTTTATTTTTACAAAATCAATCCAAAGTATGGGGACATAATTGGAAATTTAAAAAATTAAGAATAGAATAAAAACAATCATTGAGCCGAAGTGAGTTGGTAAGTAAAATTGGGTTAAATTGAAAATTTGATTTACTGGAATATATTTACGGAGCTTACAAAATTAATTATCCTTAATCTTTAAACCAATAGAATAGAAGGGTTTAAATTTTACAAAGTTGAGCTGTAGGCATCGTGCTTAAACGTGGGTTTAGGAATATAGTTAGAGGTTAAAGATGGTGATGATTGGGCAACACCCGAGCAATAATATAATTATATTAATTTAAATTAGAATCAGAAATATTAAAAAATATTAAAAATCACTTATCCCAATAAAATAAAATTATTAGGTGCAGAGGAATCGTCCGTAAAAATTTGGACATTATTGGAGTTATAAGTCACTTCGACATAATCTGCAGGGTTGATTCTTTACGGTTTATTTATTTAAATTTTAATACCTCTTCTTAATTATTCCATTTATCAAATTACGTAAAAATAATATATGATATTATTTTAGTCTGTTGGTTCCTCTTTTTTTTTTTTTTTTTTTTTTTTT